GGGGGGTGTAACGTTAATCTTTCTAGATACAAGTTGTTAGACTATTCATGGTCACATTTATCTCTTTTGAGTAATGACACGGTACATTATATACGCACTTTACAAACTATTCATTATCTGAAATGAACCAGGACTTCTCTTCATTGTAACATTTATAAATGAAGGGGTTTTACACACCCTTTCTGTTTAAACAGTATTTTATACCAAACCGGATTCTCTTTGGACTTTTTGGCCCCTAGCATTACCGATGAGTTGACCAAAAAGGACGAAACGGCTGTACGATGCAATGAAATTCAGTTTTCTTGAATTCAAAATGATTTTCCCCTTACATGTATGATGCTAAAATTAATGTATCATGTTGGGCAATCGTTATCTGTTCTGTGCACATAAAACGATCGTCCATAAAACATGTATGGAGATTAAAATCAATATTATCAATGTGGTCATGAAAAAGAGAATAGGATTACAAAATTGTGTTTTGTTTTTAACATTCCTAATGATCGCCAAGTAGTTTTTGGAATAGCTTCTCTACTTGGAATTACGTATAATATTCATTCAATACAACTTGCTTAGGGATTTAATTTTGAAAACGTCACATCACTGTTGGCAGCAGCAAATGTTGCCGGGGCAGCCACATTGTTTGTAAATAGCAGGAAGTGGAACTCTTCAATCGGATGTTAGTTTTGTATTTTTATCAGAGAGTACTTCCTATTAAGAATTAGGTTGGGAATTAGAAACATCATTCTTAGTTATGGCATGTAAGTTATCAAAATTTTGCTATTTTTTGTTGTTGAGATTTCTGCCTGAGCGACTTCCAACTATTTTGAGAATTAGCTATAGCAGCACGTGAAGAATTTCAAAGTCGCTGAGGTTTTACAAACGGTTGTGGAAACAGTCAGTCTGCGTCTGTCTGTCCATGTATGTAGCTCTGTTGTCTCAGGTTTGTGTTTGGATGATAGACAAAGAGGTGTCTCCTCAGTTTCTGAACATGTAGGTGTCTATACATAACCAAGATATTTATGTTAAGTAATGAAAGTTAAGGGTTATTTCGCGAGATGCCAGAGTATAATCCAAATGTTCAGGATAGGATTAGGCGTTATGTAATATTTGTCAGTGATTATATATATGTTGGAGTTCGTACCTTACATGTGCCTGTTCTACGAGGGGAAGTTAATAGTTCTCTTCCATTTAGATTCTGCATTATGATGTGAATTCGTAGAAGAGTGAGTTGATTTACTTGTTCAATTTGTTTGAGATTATTACTGTGCGGATTTGAGATTCGTACTTGAACTTGATGCAAGTTATAATTTTGTAGTGTTTAACAGATTGTTTATTATTGAAAGTTGGTCAACATTGCTAGAAGTCAGGGACTTTATGAGAAGTATGAATTTGAGATTCTTATAGAATTATCAGTTGTGTTACATATTTTCATACAGTTACTAAATGTGAGTTACTTTTATAAAAATATATATATATACATTTAGAGTTGTATGTTTTTATAGAATTCTTAAATAGTGAGTCTCTGTTGTGATATTTTGCGCTTCATGGATTTCTTTTTTGTCTAACTAATAAAAGGAGGAGTTTGAAATTATGTTTCTGAATTATATTTGTCTCTTAATTACTTGATAGATTTTAAGCCATGTGATTGGTAGGTCTGTGCAATTACACCGTCAGTATCTGGGAAGAGGGCAATAGTCTACTACCCACCCGTTTTATTATACCGTCAGTATCTGGGTAGAGGGCTATAGTCTACTACCCACCCGTTTTATTATACCGTCAGTATCTGGGAAGAGAGCTATAGTCTACTACATTCCCGTTCTATTACACCATCAGTATCTGGGTAGAGGGCAATAGTCTACTACCAACCGGTTCTATTATACCGTCAGTATCTGGGAAGAGGGCAATAGTCTACTACCAACCGGTTCTATTATACCGTCAGTATCTGGGAAGAGGGCAATAGTCTACTACCAACCGGTTCTATTATACCGTCAGTATCTGAGTAGTGGGCAATAGTATACTACCCACCCGTTCTATTTCACCGTCAGTATCTTGGTAGAGGGCAATAGTCTACTCCCCACCCGTATTATACACCGTCAATATCTGGGTAGAGGGCAATAGTAGTCTACTACCAACCCGTATTATCCCCCGTCAGTATCTTTATATTACACCGTCAGTATCTGAGTAGTGGGCAATAGTCTACTACCAACCCGTTATCTTACACCGTCAGTATCTGGGTAGAGAGCAATAGTCTACTCCCCACCCGTATTATACACCGTCAATATCTGGGTAGAGGGCAATAGTAGTCTACTACCAACCCGTATTATCCCCCGTCAGTATCTTTATATTACACCGTCAGTATCTGAGTAGTGGGCAATAGTATACTACCCACCCGTTCTATTTCACCGCCAGTATCTTGGTAGAGGGCAATAGGCTACTACCAACCGGTTCTATTATACCGTCAGTATCTGGGTGGAGGGCAATAGTATTCTGCCCACCCGTTCTATTACACCGTCAGTATATGGGGAGAGGGCAATAGTCTACTACCCACCCGATCTTTTACACCGTCAGTATCTAGGTAGAGGGCAATAGTCTACTACAAGCCCGTTATATTACACCGTCAGTATCTAGGTAGAGGGCAATAGTCTACTACAAGCCCGTTATATTACACCGTCAGTATCTAGGTAGACGGCAATAGTGTTAAGGTCTATAGTCTACTACCTTCCCATTCAATACACCGTCAGTATCTGGGTAGAGAGCAATAGTCTACTACCCACCCGTTCTATTTCACCGCCAGTATCTTGGTAGAGGGCAATAGGCTACTACCAACCGGTTCTATTATACCGTCAGTATCTGAGTAGTGGGCAATAGTATACTACCCTCCCGTTCTATTTCACCGTCAGTATCTGAGTAGAGGGAAATAGTCTACTACCAACCCGTTCTATTATACCGTCAGTATCTGAGTAGTGGGCAATAGTATACTACCCACCCGTTCTATTTCCCCGTCAGTATCTTGGTAGAGGGCAATAGTCTACTACCCCCCCGTTCTTTTACACCGTCAGTATCTGGGTAGACGACAAAAGTCTACTACCAACCCGTTCTATTATACCGTCAGTATCTGGGTGGAGGGCAATAGTATACGGCGCACGCGTTCTATTACACCGTCAGTATCTGAGTATAGAACAATAGTCTATTACCCACCCGTTCTTTTACTCCGTCAGTATCTGGGTAGACGACAAAAGTCTACTACCAACCCGTTCTATTACCCCGTCAGTATCTGGGTAGAGGGCAATAGTAGTCTACTACCAACCCGTATTATATACCGTCAAGTATCTGGGTAGACGACAAAAGTCTACTACCAACCCGTTCTCTATTACACCATCAGTATCTGGGTAGAGGGCAATAGTAGTCTACTACCAACCCGTATTATATACCGTCAGTATCTGGGAGGGCAATAGTCTACTACCAACCCGTATTATATACCGTCAGTATCTGGGTAGAGGACAATAGTCTACTACCAACCCGTATTATATACCGTCAGTATCTGGGTAGAGGACAATAGTCTACTTCCCACCCGTATTATACACCGTCAGTATCTATTACACCGTCAGTATATGGGGAGAGGGCAATAGTCTACTACCCAACCGTTCTATTACACCGTCAGTATCTGAGTATAGAACAATAGTCTATTACCCACCCGTTCTTTTACACCGTCAGTTTCTGGGTAGACGACAAAAGTCTACTACCAACCCGTTCTATTACCCCGTCAGTATCTGGGTAGAGGGCAATAGGCTACTACCCATCCGTTCTATTACCCCGTCAGTATATGGATAGAGGGCAATGGTCTTCTACCCATCCATTCTATATCACCGTAAGTATATGGGTAGAGGGCAATAGGCTACTACCCATCCGTTCTATTACACCGTCAGTATATGGATAGAGGGCAATGGTCTACTACCCATCCATTCTATATCACCGTCAGTATATGGGTAGAGGGCAATAGTCTACTACCCACCCGTTCTATTACACCGTCAGTATATGGGTAGAGGGCAATAGGCTACTACCAACCCGTTATATAACACCCTCAGTATCTGGGTATAGAGTAATAGTCTACTACCCATCCGTTCTATTACACCGACAGTATAGGGATAGATGGCAATGGTCTACTACCCATCCATTCTATATCACCGTTAGTATATGGGTAGAGGGCAATAGTCTACTCCCCACCCATTCTATTACACCGTCAGTATATGGGTAGAGGGCAATAGTCTACTACAAGCCCGTTATATTACACCGTCAGTATCTGGGTATAGAGCAATAGTCATTACACCGTCAGTATATGGGTAGAGGGCAATGGTCTACTACCCATCCATTCTATATCACCGTTAGTATATGGGTAGAGGGCAATAGTCTACTCCCCACCCATTCTATTACACCGTCAGTATAAGGGTAGAGGGCAATAGTCTACTACCCACCCGTATTATACACCGTCAGTATCTGGGTAGAGGGAAATAGTCTACTACCAACCCGTATTATACACCGTCAGTATCTGGGTAGAGGGAAATAGTCTACTACCAACCCGTATTATACACCGTCAGTATCTGGGTATATTACACCGTCAGTATATGGGTAGAGGGAAATAGTCTACCACCCACCCATTCTATTACACCGTCAGAATATGGGTAGAGGGCAATAGTCTACTACCTTCCCGGTATATTACACCAACAGTATATTGGTAGAGGGCATTAGTCTACTACCAACCCGTATTATACCCCGTCAGTATCTGGGTTGAGGGCAATAGGTCAGTATATGGGTAGAGGGCAATAGTCTAAGTATATGGGTAGAGGGCAATAGTCTACTACCCACCCGTTCTTTTACCCCGTCAGTATCTGGGTAGAGGGCAATAGTCTACTACCAACCCGTTCTACTTCACCGTCAGTATCTGGGTATAGAGCAATAGTCTACTACCAACCCTTTCTATTACACCGTCAGTATATGGGTAGAGAGTATATGGGTAGAGGGCAATAGTCTACTACCCACTCACTCTATTACACCGTCATTAACTGGGTATAGAGCAATAGTCTACTACCCATAGAGCAATAGTCTACTACCAACCCGTTCTATTTCACCGTCAGTATCTGAGTAGAGGGCAATAGTCTACTACCAACCCGTATTATACACCGTCAGTATCTGGGTAGAGGGAAATAGTCTACTACCAACCCGTATTATACACCGTCAGTATCTGGGTATAGAGCAATAGGGGTTAAGGGCTATAGTCTACTACCTTCCCATTCAATACACCGTCAGTATCTGGGTGGAGGGCAATAGTATACTGCCCACCCGTTCTATTACACCGTCAGTATCTGAGTATAGAGCAATAGTCTACTACCAACCCGTTCTATTACACCGTCAGTAGATGGGTAGAGGGCAATAGTCTACTACCCATCCGTCCTATTACACCGTCAGTATATGGATAGAGGGCAATGGTTTACTACCCATCCATTCTATATCACCGTCAGTATATGGGTAGAGGGCAATAGTCTACTACCCATCCGTATTATACCCCATCAGTATCTGGGTAGAGGGCAATAGTCTACTACCTTCCCGTTATATTACACCAACAGTATATTGGTAGAGGGCATTAGTCTACTACCAACCCGTATTATACCCCGTCAGTATCTGGGTAGAGAGCAATAGTTTACTACCCACCCGTATTATACACCGTCAGTATCTGGGTAGAGGGCAATAGTCTACTACCCACCCGTATTATACACCGTCAATATCTGGGTAGAGGGCAATAGTAGTCTACTACCAACCCGTATTATATACCGTCAGTATCTGGGTAGAGGACAATAGTCTACTTCCCACCCGTATTATACACCGTCAGTATCTGGGTAGAGAGCAATAGTCTACTACCCACCCGTATTATACACCGTCAGTATCTGGGTAGAGGGCAATAGTCTACTACCCACCCGTTCTATTACACCGTCAGTATCTGGGTAGAGGGCAATAGTCTACTACCCACCCGTATTATACCCCGTCAGTATCTGGGTTGAGGGCAATAGTCTATTTCCCACCCGTATTATACACCGTCAGTATCTGGGTAGAGGGCAATAGTCTACTACCAACCCGTATTATACCCCGTCAGTATCTGGGTAGAGGGCAATAGTCTACTTCCCACCCGTATTATACCCCGTCAGTATCTGGGTTGAGGGCAATAGTCTATTTCCCACCCGTATTATACCCCGTCAGTATCTGGGTAGAGGGCAATAGTCTACTACCCACCCGTTCTATTACACCGTCAGTATCTGGGTAGAGGGCAATAGTCTACTACCCACTCACTCTATTACACCGTCATTATCTGGGTATAGAGCAATAGTCTACTACCCACTCACTCTATTACACCGTCAGTATCTGGGTAGAGGGCAATAGTCTACTACCTTCCCGTATTATACACCGTCAGTATCTGGGTAGAGGGCAATAGTCTACTACCAACCCGTATTATACACCGTCAGTATATGGGTAGAGGGCAATAGTCTACTTCCCACCCGTATTATACAACGTCAGTATCTGGGTAGAGGGCAATAGTCTACTACCCACCAGTAGTATACCCCGTCAGTATATGGGTAGAGGGCAATAGTCTACTACCCACCCGTATTATACCCCGTCATTATCTGGTAATAGAGCAATAGTCTATTACCCACCTGTATTATACACCGTCAGTATCTGGGTAGAGGGCAATAGTCTACTACCAACCCGTATTATACAACGTCAGTATCTGGGTAGAGGGCAATAGTCTCCTCCCAACCCGTATTATACACCGTCAGTATCTGGGTATAGAGCAATAGTCTATTACCCACCCGTATTATACACCGTCAGTATCTGGGTAGAGGGCTATAGTCTACTACCCACTCACTCTATTACACCGTCAGTATTTTGGTATAGAGCAATTGTCTACTACCCACTCACTCTATTGTGATCGTAATTACGCTACCACGGGTTATTTTCACACTGAGTTTGGCACAGTGTCTTGACCGTTTGACCACAACAATAAGTATGTATGTGTATCAATCATGGGATCACTCAGAACTATTCACATCTGATGCAGCAGTTTTATGTTGCAATACATATGCATATTTTGTATTTTAAATTCGAATTTATATAGTTTTAAGCTATTCAAGCAAATATTAACTGCCTTCTTTTTGTTTGTTTCTCATAAACACAATAGAAAAAATCAAAAAAAAAATCAACAAAAATCCCAGGAAATGGTACGGTGCGAGAACATTAATATCTTATCACATTTCTAAACATGGAGACATATTGTTTAAATGGTTATAATTGATCAAAAAGTGTCAAACATTCTTTAAATGAAGAAAAATATGTTAAATGCTCTCAACTACAGTATTAGGTACCCGGGCCCACTTGTATAAAACATCTCAACTCTTGAGATTTCCTCAAGTCTAAGATTTCCCATAGACAATACATTGCTTGAGATTTTCCTTAACTTTGAGATGTTTTATACAAGTGGGCCCTGGGTAGCTAAAGCTTCCAAGTGAACCTGACTCAACTAAATGAGCTCTATTAAAAGACATACGCTAGTGATACTCAAGGTAAACCAAATGGTGTTTTAAGAAATATTTTTTTTTCTCCAAAAAGCGTTTCATTTCGGGTACCCTCACCTTTGTGATCAAAACCTACTCACCTGGGGAATACTCGGAATTCGAATTCTTATCCTGGGATGTTGTACTACTCTCAGGAAGATGAAAACGAGGAAAACGATCAGCGTTACTTCTGATTGTATTTTAGATGGACTCTTTGAACCTAAGTACCTCTGATGAATATTATATGGACGAACCGGCCATTCGGTACAGTAAGTTGTTTCCTTGTTTGGTACATTAAGTCGTTTACCTTGTTTGGTAAAGTGAGTTGGTTACTTTGTTTGGTACAGTAAGTTGTTAACCTTGTTTGGTACATTAAGTCGTTTACCTTGTTTGGTACAGTAAGTTGGTTACTTTGTTTGGTACAGTAAGTTGTTTACTTTGTTTGGTACAGTAAGTTGGTTACTTTGTTTGTTACAGTAAGTTGATTACCTTGTTTGGTACAGTAAGTTGTTTACCTTGTTTGGCTTTCGGTATCAAGAACCTAAATTTTGAAACGTGTTACGTAAAACTTCATATAGGGTGTCGTTCCGCTTGCAACTATATTGCCCGGAGTTATCGTTCTTATTTCGTTATTACTACCACTAAATATGCTACTACTTACCTGTATGATGAGAACACATGAAGCCACCAGGGTAGTTAATACAGACGTCACTTCCGTTGCAGCGGTTCGGTAGTTTGCATTCATCGACATCTTGTGAACAATGCTGGCCAGCCCAGTGTGTTGTACAGCTACACTGGTAACTTCCTGGCGTGTTAATACACTGTCCGTTATTAAGACAGGGCTGACTAGTTAGACACTCGTTGGTATCGTCTGTACAGTTCTGGCCGCCCCAACCACTATCACAGTTACACACGTAACTTCCATTGGTGTTAAGACACGATCCATGATGACACATTTTTGTCAGTTTACATTCATCTCTATCCACGTCACAGTGATGTCCTGACCAGCCACTCCTACAGACACACCTATACGATCCGGCGTTGTTTTGACAAGTAGCCCCATTGTGACAAGGGCTGTTACGACATTCGTCTTTGTCACGCTCACAAGTATTACCCTGCCAACCCTCTTTACACGTACAGTTAAAGCCACCCCCAGTATTGGTACAGGTGGCGTTGTGTTTACACACGTGTTCGTCACATTCATTGATATCTGTCGAGCAGTTAACACCTTTCCAACCAGTCTTACATGTACATTTATACCTGCCTGGATTATTGGTACAGGTTCCACCATTTTGACATAAATTATGTATAGTATGACATTCATTGACATCCTCAGAACAGCTCCATCCAGTCCAGGCGGTATTACACTGACACGTGAAATTTCCGTCAGTGTTGTGACACGTGCCTCCATGTTTACAGGGATTATGTTTACACTCATCTACGTCTGTATTACACTGGCTACCCGTCCACCCTGTATTACACTGACACGTGTATGACCCTGGTGTGTTGTGACACGTGCCTCCATGTTTACAGGGATTATGTTTACACTCATCTACGTCTGTATTACACTGG